CCATTAATTCTGTGAACAGTTTTTTTTTTTATGTCATTTGTACTTTCTCCTGCTATCAGTCTTATTATTCTTTGCATCATCTAGGAGCTGTTGGATCAATTTTATATGATCCCTTACTGTTTTTGAAGAGATCTCTCTTTTCATGGTCACTGTTCCTGATCCTATCTTCTATATCTGATATTCTATCTTAACATTTGCTCATTCTGCTGCAAATGCTTTCAATAGAGTTTTTTTCCCTCATTGAGTCCATTGGTACATTTTAGGTATACAGTACAGTTACATTCATTATTATCTTGTACCGTTACATGACAGGTCTTGGTTCTCATTTTTTCCCCTTGTCCCTGCTCTCCCTTCACCCCCTCTTCCCCTCCCCCTTTACAAAAACTTCATTTCCATTTTTTCATTTTCTCATATTTTTTTCTTTTCCCTTATTAGCTTTCCCCAACTTCCCACTTTCCCTACACCTTTAGCCCCTTTCTTCCTATTTCAGATTGTCCATTATATCATTAGGATCTTAAGTACTATTATAGTTTATTCACACCAGAGAAACTATTTGGTATTTATACATGTGTGACTTATTTATTTCATTTAGGAGTATATCCTCAATATGTATCCATTATCCTGTTAATTACTCTAATTTCTCATTCTTTATGGCTGAGTAATATTCCGTTTTATAGAAAAAACCCACATCTTCTTTATCCAGTTTCCAACTAATGTACAAATGGGCTGTTTCCAAGTTGTAGCTATTACATATTGTGCCCCTATAAACATAGGTGCACATATATCTCTGTGATATGATTCTTTTAATTCTTTTGGAAAGATACCCAGCAGAGGGATGGCTGGTCCAAATGGAACCTCTAGTCCCAGCTGTTTGAGGTATCTCCATATTGATTTCCATAGTGGTTGCACCAGTCTGCCCTCCCACCAACACTGGAGAAGGCTTCCTTTCTCCCCACAGACCTGCCAGCATTTGTTTTTGGTTAATTTGATAGCAGCCATTCTTTCTGGGTGAAGGTGGAGTCTCTGTTGTTTTCATCTGCATCTCTTGAATGACCAGTGATGTGGAACATTTTTTTCATATATTTACTTGCTGTTTTTACTTCTTTGTCTGAGAAATGTCTGTTCATTTCAGATGCCCATTTTTGAATCGGGTCTTTATATTTGGGGGGCTGATTGTTTTGAGTTCTTTATATATTCTAGATAATAGTCCTTTGTCTGAGGAGCAGCTGGTAAAATTTTTTCCCACATTGTAGATTGTCTCTTAGTTCTGCTGATGGTTTCTTTTGCAGTACAGAAGCTTTTTAATAAGATGAGATCCCAGTTGTTGATTCTTTCTGCTAGTTCCCGTGCTGAGGATTTGTTCTTAAAATCTTTTCCTATGCCAGTGTCTTCAAGAGTTCTGCCTAACTTATCTTCTAGCAAATTTAGTGACTTTTTAAATATTTAGATCTTTAATCCACTTGTATTTTAATTTAGTGCATGATGAAAGATAAGGGTCCAGTTTTAATCTTTTGCAGGTTGAGATCAGTTTTTCCAATACCATTTTTTAAAGGGACTATCTTTCCTCCACTGAGGATGGTCAGCTCCTTTGTCAAAGGTGACGTAGCTGAGTACATCTGGATTTGCTTTTGTGTCTTCCAGTGTGTTCCACTGATCCTCAGGTCTGTTTCTTTGCCAGTACCATGCTGTTTTTATCACAGTGACTTTGTAGTGTAGTTTCAAATTGGGAATTGTTACACCCGCTGCCATGTCTCTGTTGCCTAGGATGGTTTTTGCTATTCTAGGTCTCTTATGTTTCCAAATGAATTTTTGGATTCTTCTTTCTAGTTCTGTGAAGTATAGTATTGGAATTTCAGTTGGCATTGCATTGAATCTATATAGCACTTTTGTTAGTATGGCCATTTTCACTATGTTGATTCTTCCTACCCAGGAGCAGGGGATACCTTTCCATTTTCTTATATCTTCTTTGCTTTCTTTTTTCAGAGTGCTGTAGTTTTCGTTGTAGAGGTCTTTGCTTCTTTTGTTAGATTGATTCCTAGATATTTCATTTTTGGGGTGCTATTATGAAAGGAATTATTTCCCTAATTTCTCTCTCAGTGAGTCTGTTATTTGTGTACAAGAAGGCTATTGATTTTTGGGTGTTGACCTTGTATCCAGCTATTCTGCTAAAGGTGTGAATTAAGTCTAGAAGTCTTTTGGTGGAGTTTTTGGGTCTTCAATATAGAGTATTATATTGTCAGCAAATAATGACAGTTTAACTTCTTCCTTTCCTATCTTTATTGCTTTAATTTCTTTCTCTGGTCTAATTGCTATGGCTAATGTTTCCAGAACTATATCGAAGAGGAGTGGTGATAGTGGGCATCCTTGTCTTGTTCCTGATTTTAATGTGAAAGTTTTCAGTTTTTGGCCATTTAATATGATGTTGGCTGTTGGTTTTTCATAGATAGCCTTTATTAAGTTGAGATATAGACCATCTATTCCAATTTTTTGCAGGGTTTTTTATCATGAATTGGTGTTGAATTTTGTCAAATGCTTTTTCTGCATCTATCGAGAGGATCATATGGTTTTTGTCCTTGACTTTGTTAATATAGTGTATTACATTTATTGACTTATGTATGTTGAACCATCCTTGCGTCCCTGGAATAAATCTGACTTGGTCAGGATGTACGATCTTCTTTGCTCCTCTGTACTCTTTTTGCTCATATCTCATTAAGGACTTTTGCATTTATATTCATTAAGGAGATTGGCCTGTAGTTCTCTTTTTTAGTTGCATCTTTCCTTGGTTTGGAAATCAAAGTAACACTTGCCTCCAGGAATAAATTTGGAAGTATTGCTTCCCTTTCAATTTCATTGAAAAAACTGAAGAGTGAAGGCAGTAGTTCTTCTCTAAATGTCTTGTAAAATTCAGCAGTGAATCCATCAGGACCTGGGCTTTTCTTTGTTGGTAAATTTTTTATTACATTTTCAATTTCACTGATTGTAATTGGGGTCTTTAAAATGTTTTTATCTTCTTTGTTCAACTTTGGTAATTCATAAGTATCTAAAAATCTGTCCATTTCTTCTGTGTTTTCCATTTTACTAGAGTACAGGTTCTCAAAATAGGTATTAATGATCCTCTGGATTTCTGTTGGATCTGTTGTGACTTCACCTTTTTCCTTCCTGATTGCATGGATCTAGCCTTTTCTTTCCTTTTTTTTGATAAGGTTAGCTAAGGGTTTATCAATTTTTCAATAGAGTTTTTAATCCCCTGGATATCTGATTCTGTTGCATGGATTCTCTCTTTCCTATATTGGGCATTCATGCTTTCCATTTCTTTCCTACGCTGGGCATTCATGGTTTCCATCATGATTCATCTATTTTTTCATCTGTTTCTATTCTAGAGTTTCATTTTGCTCTCCATCTCTGTGGTTATCTGGGAAATTATTTCTGTTTTGAATTTTTCTAAGGCCTCATTCATTTGTTTTGTTACTTCCTGTTCAGGGTGTCTAGGTGGTTGACTGTCTCAGACTTTTCCTCCTCATTTCCCCCAGAATTTACCTTTGGTGAGCTGGACGTCTGTGTTTGTGTCTTGTTTAAATGTCTTCTCACTTCTGTTTTTATTGGGTCCTGTCCTTGGTTTAATTCCTGGGTTAATACTTCCATCTTCCAGATATAGCTGGTCTTTAGATTTTGCGTTTCTAATTACTCCAAGACCTTCTCATTTTCATAATACTACGAGGAACAACTGATTAGATCAGTCATAACACCTTAGCCCAAGCAATACAGTCACGAACAATAGCCTCAAGCACAGTTTAGAAAATGAAAATTTGTGGTAGTTATTAATTTATCATTTTTAACCATGTGATTTAAATTGAAATCAAGGAACAGCTCAAAATATATTTATAATGAATAAACTGTTTAATATAGGAACTTTACCTTTCAGTATGGGGACTTGGAAGGAGTTGGGGAGGGAGGGATAGATAGGATAGGCAAAGGTTAGAAGTGAGGCCAGAGGACACAGGAAGATCATGCAAACTGTAGGAAGCTGTTGAAGAGAAGAGGAGAAAACAGAACAAAATATACACAAGAACAGAGGAATCTAACAGCAGAAGGAAGGTTCGAAACTGTAATCACTTTCTTTTAAAACTAATGACAATCGAGAGAAGGAAAAGGAGAAGACAAGAAAAAAGAAATTTGAATTAGGACAGAATAGGAACAAAAAGAGAAAAATGAACAAGGTGGGAGAGAGAGTGAGAAAGAAAGGAAAAAAGAAAATGAAGAGAAAAAAAGGAAAAAATTTGAGTAGAGAAAAGAAAAAGATAGGTAAAAAATTTAAAATGATTAAAGGTAAGAGAAAAACATTACTTTGAAAATAAAAATAAAAATCAAGGGCCTCCACAGTATGCCTCTGCTCACACAATAGACAGCATGGGCAGGAGTGTGAAGATCTAAGTTAGTCTCAACAAGCCAGCAGCTATTCTGAGGTTCAGGCTGATTTCTGGGTATAAGTCCCAAGTTGAGATCCCTGACCTGCTGGGTTGAACACTGCAAGGTTCTACTACAGGTTTCAGCTGCCCTTCTCCTGTAGATGGTCCAGGTTTCGATGGGAGGTTCAGATCTCTCCAACTTACTAGCTGTGGTGGTGTGGTATGCCTTAATTGCAGATATTTTCTTCACTTTTTCAGTGGGCTTCAGTTTTCATCTAGGAGCCTCAGGCCCTTGTTCACAGGGATGAGAATGGGCTGGGGTGGGGCACAGCTGTGTTGGCCCCCATGCAGCTGGGCTCCTCTGCTGTTCTTCACTATAGGGGCAGATTCACCAGAGGGCCACATGCTGCTGCTGGGCTCCTCTACTGCCTGTGCTCTTTTAGAGTTAGCATGTAAACTGTGAAAATGTTTGGAACATTCAGCTTCAGACAATCTTTGTAAATAATCTGCTGCAGATGAACCATTGTGCTTTATATTGTTGTTCTTCATTTTTATGAACTGTCTACCAACCATTCTAATATCTTTTTCTCATAGAGAGTGACAGACCAGAGGGTACAGAGTATGTAAATCCTGGTGAAAGGCTCATAGAAGAAGGCTGTCTTCATTTAATTTCACTGGGATCCAAAGCATTGATGATTCAAGTGTGGGCTAATCCACATAATGGCACTTTTATCTTTCGGTATTTATTATCTTTGCTAATGAATAGATTATGTATTTAAATAATTTAAGATATATTAATATGAAATCAGCTAATAAAGATTATTATAGCAAGAGAGTAAGATTTTATTTAGAAAAATAAAATGCATTATAAGTTCTTAATACTGCTTTGAAAAAAGTATATTATTCTACCCAAAAACCTGTAAGTAAATTCTAGATAATGTTAATATTTTATTAGATTTTGGATCAAGTACTTACTAAAGTTTTATTCAATAGAAATAGAAAACTATTTTGAAGATAGAAAACTCTTTGAGGTTGTAGTAGCCTTCAGGTGTTGCTAGCAGACAGGTATTTCCCATGTAGATTATATATTTAATAGCTATTATCTAATAAGCTTATGTTCTCCTTGCTTTCTTATTTTTTGGTACTGGGGATCCAACTTGGGACCTTGTGCTTACAAGGTAGGCGTGGTGCCACTAAGCTACATCCCTGGCCCTATCTTGTTTTTTGCTTTTTTATTAAGAAGTATAGATACGTATTTTTGCTGTACTAATGTTTGAAGAGTATGATATAAAACTCCGAACTAAAACTAGTATGCTATTTAGGAATATATGGTTTCTAAATGTTATATTACTAGGTTCTTTATTTACATTATCTCTTCACTGCAATAATCTTTCAAAGTAGGTTAAACCAGTAATATGTTCCAGTATTTAAATATTTATAATAGTATGTATTAAGTTTTGTAAGAACCATATATTACATTGTAATATCTAAAAAGGTATGACTAAATAGAAAAAGGTTTATACATTTTGTTTTACAAATTGACTTCTGGAGATTATAATACCAGCCAATAAGCCTAATCTATTTTATCTCATAAATTGAATAATAAAATAAAATAACAAACACGTTATGCTGTAAAACAAAGAATTGCTACTTTTTAAGTCAGTTTAAAATAGAAGTGATTTTTAATCTCATTTAAATATTTACAGTTATAGTTGCTGTCTGTGTTTAATACTGAGGTCAGAATTTTGATGTTTAAGTCTGTGTGCTTTTTTCTTTATCTACAGTGTGTGTACAGATCCAAATGATGACATGAAAGCTGTTTTACTAGCACAGGTTGAATCACAAGAGAATATTTTCCTCCCGATGAAATGGCAACATTTAGTACTCACCTACCTACAGCAGCCTCAAGGGAAAAAGAATGTCCATGGCAAAATCTCCATGTGGGTCTCTGGACAGAGGTGTGAAAGATTTTTAGAAAACACATATTAATCTGTTATAATTTTAAGTTCAATTAGTCTGTTGTAGTTTCTGAAACACATTACAGAAAACTGTATGAAAAATTTACCAAGTATTAAAGCAGGAATTTATATAGGAGTTAGATTTTTTCTGTTTATCACTATCATACAAAATATATCTACCATAGACGTAACTGTTGATAATTAATACAGTTGGCCCACTGTAGCTGGGTTCTGCATCTGTGAGTTCATCCAACTTCTGATTGAAAATTTTCAAGGAAAAAATGTTGACATCTCCCATGAACATGTACGCTTTTAAAATTATTTCCTAAATAATACAGTATAACAATTTACAAATTATGTTGTATTAGGCATACGTAACAGAGGTGATTTAAAGTTACAGGAGACTATGTGTAGGTTATATGCAAATATACCATGTCATGTAAGCATTCTCAGATTCTAGTATTTGCAGTGGTGTGAGGGGCTGGGGAGTTCTGGAGCCAACCCTGTAGATACTAATTGGAGACTATTTGGGTTTGAGAAGCATACAGAAAACTTGGACATTTAGATACTTATGTATAATGCATATTAGATCAAGGAAGAGAATCTATAATTATGTCCCTTAAGCCCATCTGTTATAAAAATGAATCCACAAGGAATTATTAAAATTGATTGGCTAAGTGCTCTTTATGCATTATTTCATAATTCTCTCAAAAATCACTCAGAGTTTAGACCATAGACATAACATACATTTAGCACAAATTAACTTATTCTCATTCATTAACTAATCACATACTTATTGAAGAATCACCATGTGCCAGGCATTACTGTAGGAGGCTGCAAGTGTTATGTCTTACAGCTTTCAGGGTTCAATAATAGAGGAAGAGGGGAGAAGGGCTTGCAAATGGCTTTGGCGCAGCCAGTGGTGGCTACACAGGAAAGAACAGGCTTTGGAAATTAATAGTTCAGTCTTTTTTTACCTAGTTGTGAAAAAATATAATTGAAGCCTAATTTTTCATATTCCAAATAAAATGCTATCTGGAGTTCCCAGTCTTTACACCTACCCAAGCCTGAATGGCGACTGTAGCCAATCAAAACCAAATTGGTTTGCGGAATCAGTGGGAGTTGGTGGGTTTTGAATAGACAGCCTTTCTCCATGTGGACTCTGTCCTCATTCTTGAGCTCTTATCATGTGCCAGATATTATTTTAAACACTTTACAGAGTACCACATTTTATCCTTCCCCAAACACTATGAGGTAGGTATTGTATTATCTTTTTCACATATGAGTCAGCAGTTACCCAGAGTAGGATGAGGCAGCTTATCCAAGTTATGCCCCATGTAAGAAGTAGAGCCAAAATTTGAGCCAAGGCTCAATTCCCAAAGAGAGCTCACACCCTAAACCCTTGCTTTACTGTTCCTCAGCCTTGCTCTGAATCAGGCCATATGACACATATAGGAATCATAAACTAGTTCTTAGACACGTTTAGAGTGAAAGATTAGGTTGCCATAATTGGCAGTTCTGAAGTTAATTAGTATATAATAGTCACTTGATTCACACATTCTTTCTTTACACTCCCAATTATTTCAACATTCCTTCCAAGAAATTTTTTTGCCATTTGATACAAGTTAATGATTCCATTAATTCCCAGAGCAGTGAACATGTGACCAAGAACCAAAAATATCCTGTTGACTAGATTTTATTTTGTCTTTATCATTTTCAGATTTATAATTTCTACAAAGAGTATATTTTGAGACCACTTTAATAATATATGACACTGAAAATGACTTAAGAATATATTATATTAACTGTTACTTGATGAGCAATGCACAAATCTGGTAGAAATATATAGCACATATTATATACTTGATATTTGTTAAATTTATTTTGCATTTATCTTGCAAACCATATGAAGTCATACTGTCACTAGGTGGCAGTGGTGTTTTGGTCAAACTTCATTTAGACTTTGTCTTGATAGGTTATCCTCATTATCTTATTACAGAATTTAAGACATCACTAAAACAGGGATGAAGCTTGGCACTCAGCAGCTTCACAAGATGAAGTCTCCCAGCTTTTTTGTGCCTTTTCTGTGAGAAAGCATTTTACTTTTGCTGCTACTCTTTGTTTTATTCATGAAGAAAAAAGAGACTAATCAAAAGCTCTCCAATCCTTAGCATTTCAGTGAATAGATAGAGCAAAACTTGGAGAAGTGATGCTTTTATGATTAGTCTTTGAAAACTTCATAAAAATAAAATTTTAGGAATTGTTTCTCAAAATGGTAAGATGCGGGGGTGTGGGTTTTTTTTTAAACCAAGAAGGCATAGATGCAGAAGTCAGATAACAAAGCAAAATTTGCAGTTACTATTAGGTCATGCTTTCCACGGACTGCTGTGTGCTCAGGCATCTGTTTGGTCCCTACTTCTGTAGCTTGTGAACCACCAGCACCTCTGACCATAGATGCTATAGAATTGGCCCTATCTCTGTCCTTATCACCAACCATCCTATATTAATCCAAGAAAAATTGGTTAAGAATCTCCCACCACTAAATAGTCATACTTTAAACACACTTCAGTACTCGCAGAAGTAATGATATAACTTTGTTTTAAATGTAGGAGGACTGATGTCACTTTGGATTTTACACTTCCAAGAAAAACAAGTTTATCATCTGATAGCAATAAAACATTTTGTATGATCGGCCATTGTTTATCATCCCAAGAAGAGTTTTTGCAATTGGCTGGAAAATGGGACCTTGGAAACTTGCTCCTCTTTAATGGTATAGTTTCTCCTTTGAAGCATTTCCAATTTTTTCTTTCACTTAACAAGTGTTAAACTAAGTAAATTCACATAGCTAAAAGGTTGATCTCTGTTCCATCACCTGGTTTTAATAAGCATTTTATTTCCAAGATTCTAAAATGTATTTTTAAAGTATTTTGACATTTTATAATCTAGATGTGTCATAATCATTGTGTGCTTTTAATATAGAAATGCATCTCTCTCTCCTCCCCTACTTATATATTAAGCCAACATTATTTTACAATCCTGGAAAATGAAGTTTCATGACTAGTAAACATAGAATGTTTGTCTGTTTTATTTATAATTTTAGGTGTGTCCCATTAACATGCCAAATTTCAGGGAAAAAAATGTAACTCAAAATAATTTTTTTTTTTGAGACAGTGTCTCACTATGTAGTTCAGGCTGGTCTTGAACTCACTGTGTAGCCCAGGCTGGCCTCAAACTCATAGCGATCCTCCTGACTCAGCCTCCTGAGTCCTGGGATTATAGGCGTGTACTACCACTCCAGCAGTAATGTGATTTTTAAAAAATATATTAGGGGCTGGGGATTTGGCTCAGTGGTTTTGCTGCCTGCCTTGCAAATACAAAGGCCCAAGTTTGATCCCTGGCACACACACAAAAAAAGTATATGAATAAATAAAATAAAAATATATCATTAAAACTGGCGTTAGTGGCAGGCAGTGTTTATTGACTATTTCAGAAAGAATAAATATATCAATTCAAATATCATTTTAAAACAGAGTTTACCAAGATATAGTTTATACTTATTTAAAAAGCAAAGTAAAACAAAACCAGAAACGTGTTTGACTAAAGAAGTAAAATAGAATAGAAATTTTATTTTATCAAGAACTTCACAATTAACTTCATGCACATTAATTCATCATTTATCCTGATTGATGTATGTTCTCATTATACTAATTTGAAAATTGAAGCTTTATCAATTTTATCAATCACATTTCTAACAATTTGGAAAAAATTTTTATTGTCTTTTATTAAAAATTCTACTTGAATGTTTTAAATAAGTAACTTTATTTTTCTGCTATCCAGGAGCTAAAGTTGGTTCACAAGAGGCCTTTTATCTGTATGCTTGTGGACCCAATTATACATCTGTAATGCCATGTAAATATGGTAAACCTGTGAATGACTACTCTAAATATATTAATAAGGACATTTTGCAGTGTGAACAGATCAGAGAACTTTTTATGACCAAGAAAGATGTGGACATTGGTCTCTTAATTGTAAGTTTTAATTTTATAAGCCTTTATAGTAAATTTTTATAAGTGTATTTATTGAAATGCATAATTAGCAATGAATTATATTTCTAGAGATTTTAAATTTTTTTCCATAATTATATTCTCTTCTTACAGTATTTTTTCTGAAATAAATTTGAAACACTTTGTCCCTCTGTCAAATTTTGTATCATGTTTTAAGTTTACATCCATCTGTCCTTGGAATTATATTTCTGTAGTAATTTTGTCAATTATTTTATATCTACTAATTCAAGAAAAGTTTTTATGATACAGTAAAAATATAACACTGATTAGTCTAACAGTCTTAAAAATATTGTTGATTATTTTTTCTTTCTATACCTAAAAATAAATAGTAATATTCACTTATAACATTAGTTTTAATGTATTCAGGTTTTAGATAACTTACTCATATCAATAAAAATTATAAATTTTGGGCCAGGCATTTTGCTCAGTGCTGCTGCACCTGCCTCGCAAGTACAAGGTCATGAGTTCGATCCCTGGTTTAAAAAAAAATTATAAATTTTTCCTTCAGAGTATTGCTAATTATGCTAACATGAGACTCTCTGTTGTTTTTTACTTATTCTAATATTTTGTTCTACTAGTATACAGTTTAGAAGCGACTCGTGGGAATTTTTTATGAATAACAACTAGAAAACTGTGATTTCATAGTGTTAGAAAAACTGCTATAGCCCCTCCTCTTTTTTCTCATGAGAAGTACAATTGTAGACTAACTAGAGATATTTCTTACTTGGAGGTTACCATTTGGGAATGTATTTGTTACTGCTGTGATTGTTGTTGTTGTTATAGAGGTATATATTTCAAATAAAATTAGATTATATTTTAAAGCTGTAACAGTTAAAGGAGGAATTGTAATACAAATTATAATACACACTTATATCTTTAAGTGGTGTTAAGTACATAACTGTGGCAAAGTAGATGTACAGTAGGTAACTATGAATTTACCTAAAGCTCTGACATTAAGTGTATAATCTTTTTCTCCAAAAGGAATATGTAAAAATGGTGTGGCAAGTAGAATTTGCTCATTAACTATTACTGGGTGGGGGCCAGGGATGCTAAATGATTAACAGTTCTTGAGCACTGTTACGCAACAAAGAATTAGCCTACCAAAAACTTTACTCCTTGAGAAAATATTCTTTAGGAAATTGATTCTCAAAACTGAGAGCACAGGAGAATCTCCAATAGGGCTCATTCAAACATAGATTGCTGTGCTAGAGCCTCTTCTTTGGCAGGTCTAAAGTGTGGCTCAAGAATTTACCTTTTTCATAAACTAATAGAGTGATGTTTATACCTCACTTTCAGAACTTCTGCTTTAGGGAAACTAAGGTGCTCATACAAGTATTTTTTCAAATATTAACTGTAGCTGTTTAGTTTTTTTTTTGTTGTTCTTGTTTGTTTTATTTTCATTAAAATAATTTCCTTAATCCTTTTATTTTTTTAATAGAATTTAGGTCATATTCTAAGGGTTTTATGTAAAAATTTGAATTCTTCAGGGGTCTACAAAGCCTCAGAGAGTAAGGCAGGGATAGTACACTCCTTTCAAAGCGTGGTGTCAGCCACAGGCCAGAAATTTTGTACAGAAACAGATTGTGTAGTCGGTTTTGTTGGTGCACAAGTAGGCCAGTGGTATTCCTGATGAAACTGTACTTAAATTGCCATGAGTCATAAATGACTTAAGCCCAAGAGCCCCATCAACTTCTTTGAGAAGACATTAAATGTACAAAACATTCCCTAACCCTGAGCTCAGCAGCTGCTGCCACTGAGATCACTTTCAATTCATTCTTTTTTTTTCTTTTTATTGAATTTATTGGTCCAATCTAGGTATACAATACAGTTACATTCATCATCGGGATTCTGTACCTTTACATAATAGGTCTTGATTCTCATTTTTCCCCTTGTCCCTGCCCTCCCTTCACCCTCTCTTCCCCTCCCCATTTACAAACACTTTATTTCCATTTTTCAGTTTCTCATATTTTTTTCCTCTCCCTTATTACCTTTCACCCACCCTTCCCACTTTCCCTACACCTTTAGCCCTTTACTTCCTATTTCACATTATTAATTATCTCATTAGGATCCTGTGTACTATTATAGTTTTTCACACCAAAGAAACTATTCGGTATTTCAGTTAAAGAAATCTCTGTATGAACATTAAAAATAGGGAATCCTAAAATAAAACTAAAAAGGAAAGTAAAAGAGAAAAGGCAATGATACATTAAAATAATCCTGAATTCTGGAGATGAAAATGGTCCCTGAACATATTTAAATTGCTTCTCGCTCTTATAGTCAGTCTTATCTTATTCTTTTTTCATTATTTAGAGAATACTTTATTAGTTTCTGTAATCAAACCCACGTAGCAACAGCAACAGAACTTTGCTGTTTTCTGGATATTATTCTTTTCTTTGTTTCTTTTTATCATCTACTTGTTCTACTTTAATTTTTCCATAGCACTTATACTCTCACATATTACTTCTGCTATATTATCACTTATTGTTTATTTTCCCTATATATATGCGCACACACACACACACACACACACACATATATATAAATTGATTTTTGAAAAACTTTAACAGTGCTGCCAACTTTGCAAAAAGTCATCCCAATTTACTGTGTTGAGTTGGCATTGTACAGAAATGGACAGCCATATTGGTCTACAAATGTTAATTTTTTTCATTTTTATTTTTTATTTTTTTTCCATGTATGCAGGGGTAACACATCGCACTTTCAATTCATTCTGCATTTAAATTTACCTTAGTTTTCAAAGAAATTCAAAGAAGCTAGACACAGTGCTAGAAATTGATTGAAACTACTCTCTGCAGGGAGAAATACTGAAAATTCTATTGAATTTTACTTAATTGTGCTGACAGCATGGAATTTTATTCTAACAGAAAAATATAGTTTAGAGTCAGTTTTAAGTGAATAACCAGTCAATGAATGAGCAAAAATGTGGGCAAATTAACCCAAATCCATGGCAAAAATTTGGGTAAATTGATCCAGAGTTCCCAAATTCCTAAGTTCTTAGAACAGTGCCTAGTGTATAATAAATGTGGCATAAGACTTAGCTGTTATTTGTAATAACAGTAAGTACACTTTCATGCTTATTCTAAATTAATCAAAATGGTATGATTCTCAGTCTTGATGTAGTTCATGGTGTTGGTCACAGCTCAGTGACACTCGTCATTTCCTTTGTGGGAAGCAGCTTTTGTTTCTCTTGTTCATCTTTGTTCAGTGTAATAGCTGTCTTTTCTAAAACAAAGATAGACTAGCTAAGTGTCTTTCCACTTTGAAATATCTATTTGCTAGGTGATAACTTACACTTTAAACTTCATTTTATGACTATTAAAAACAAATACTTGTTTCAGGAAAGTCTTTCAATTGTTTATACAACAACACTTCCTGCTCAGTATACCATCTATGAGCCAGTGATTAGACTCAAGAGTCACATGAAAACCCAGCTTTCTCAAAGGCCCTTCAGCTCAAAAGAAGTCCAGAGCATCTTACTAGAACCTTCCCATCTAAAGAGCCTCCAGCCTACTGAATGTAATACTATTCAAGGAATTCTGCATGAGATTGGTGGAACTGGAATATTTGTCTTTCTCTTTGCTAGGGTAAGACTCACTGATTATGATTTTTGTTTAAAAAGAAACTACTTCTTTATTATTGAAAAAATTAAAGAGTTTCTTGTGGATTACCAAAAAATGCTATGCCCAACTTTACTAAATGTTTCAGATAATAAATCACATATTAACGATAACAAGCTTTTTGCCACAGATAATTATGTGTTTTTTTCTGATTTATGAAGCTTTTAGAATTTCTCTGTTGTCCATAAATATAATTGGAACAATTAAATGTTAAATGTACAAGACTTTAAATTGCATTGGGAAAGAAAAATGCTTGCTGTAGTAGTGATATGAAAGAAATATATTTTTAAAGATCAGGTTTGTGAAACTTTTATCCCTTAAGCTTCCCAATACATGGGGACAAAACCAGTGGTCAACATATAAGTGAAAATGTTTTTGATTTATTTGGGTTTGGAGGTTTTTTTAATAAAGAGAAAAAATACAAAAAGTTTGACTTAGACCTTAAGTAGCACTTTATAACAAATTATCTGTTCTATTTAGTTATTATGTGTAGAGACTAACTTTTCTGGTACAGAGTGAAGTTAATTACATATTAACTATTTCAAGGATTGCTAAAATCTATAATAGGAGCACAAGTAGTCTCATTTTGGAACAATCATTTCTATTTTTCTCTGGCCCATATCCTTGTGTAACCAAAACCTTTATCTAACTTCATCCTCAGAGTGTCATTTTATCTTTAAATACAACTTCTTTGTTTGTTTGTTTGTTTGTTTGTTTTTTGGTACCAGGGATTGAACTCAGGACCTTGCACTTGCAAGGCAGGTGGCAGAACCACTGAGCTAAATCCCTGTCCCTAAATATAACTACTAAAACAGCAAATTTTCATACTACCTCCCTAACTGGCTTACTTTCTTTAATGGGCCTGCCTTTTATTAATTTTGCAATATGAGATGTATCAGCTTTTGGTGTTAGTGTTCCCTACTATGAACACTTTTCTTCTTTCTCAATATTTTTTTCTGCTGTTATCTAAATTTTCCCCTAGTATTTTAAAATTAGAAATCTCTTCATTTAACTCCTTGTCAACATTTTGTGATCTCCTTTCATACTATTCTGTAATTTCAAAATATGTATTCTTGATTTTTCCTCCTTCATCTAGGTATTGAATATAATCTTGAAATGGCTACTGTTGCACAGTGTTTAGATCCTTGAGAAAATGGTAAAATTCTATCATGTATACTTTAGGAATTCTTGCCAATAAAACTTTTGAGGTATATTTTCACATTTAAAACTTAGAAACATTTTTTTTTAATCCTTCCTCTTCCCTTGTAAAAATAAAATTTAGTTTCCTTAAAATCCTCATGCTACCTTTTGGCCTAATCTTCAGTCAAAGAGGCCACTTGCAGCCTCCTCAGATGTACCACAAACTTCACTTTAGACCTTCACCCACTCTTGGTTTTCTCCCAGCCCGGGGAACCCTTTTTCCCAGTTTCCCATGCTTTGACTCAATTGCGAGGCTGTGTTCTCTTTGTGTGGAGGGGTCTAAGTAGTCTTTGTGCACCCTTTGAATACTTTCATAGAAACTAAATTTGCTTATGAACTGTGTTAGATAATCACACATAATAAAATTTTTACTCTCAACAGATTATCCTCTTTTTTTTTAGGTTGTTGAATTAAGTGGCTGTGAAGAAACTCAGGCATTAGCACTACGAATTATACTATCTTTAATTAAATACAACCAACAGAGAATGCATGAATTAGACAATTGCAATGGACTTTCCATGATTCATCAGGTGTTGATCAAACAAAAATGCACTGTTGGCTTCCACATTTTGAAGGTATGACCTCATATAATTTACTGTCATGGTTCCTATGTAGTGATCCTCATCTTTCATCAGAGTCTCCTAATAATGGTTTTATGTTTCAGCTATTCCTGAGGAAAATTAAAGTAGTTCATTACTATATATTTAATTAAGCCAAGGTAATCTTCTGGTTCTCTTCATCATTTAAGTAATCACATTTTCTTCCTTTTTTTTTTTTTTTAAACATTTCAGAAAAGTAAGAAAGAAAGTAAACTCAAAGAATTTTAGATCTGAATGGACCATAAATGTCCCCCAGGACAGCCTCTCTTCGGTGATTGATTAGATTGTTTGCTTTACTCCTGCAGTTATGGAAGAGAACTCAGCTCTCCAGGCACTGCAGATACATCATGTGCCACTGCCTATAGTTTTTAAAGTTATAAATATCCATGTTAGCTTTTGTTATGATCCTGACATTCTGTATATTTAAATACTTTTCTAGCTATAACTATTGGTAATATTGTGAAAGAATTTCTCTGAGGATGATGGTATTAAGGCAGAAGATGATTCCTTACCTTTTCCTCTACCATACCTCTTTAAACCATAAGACACATAAATTTGTGGCACAGATCCTTTACTAACAACAGATAATTTAAATGGATTCAAATTACTATTTAAATAAAATTTAATTATTTAAATCAATTTTTAAAATGTGGATTTGAAACCAAGTAGTCACTTTAAAATATTTGAATTTCGGTATTTTCTATTTATTTGAATTATTTTACAAAACAAAAGATACTTTGTGAAATGTAGAATTATTTGCTGTTGTCCTTTGAATTTAATGTTATGGTTGCTAAAGTTAAAGGCTTAATGTTTCTGTTTATTATTGCTTAATCAGTTATTAATGTATCTTATATTAATGATTATTTTCCATAGACGCTTCTTGAGGGTTGCTGTGGTGAAGAGATTATTTATATCAGTGAGAATGAAGAGTTTAAATTGGATGTAGAGTCTAATGCTATAATCCAAGATGTTAAACTGTTAGAGGAGCTGTTGCTTGACTGGAAGATATGGAATAAAGCACAGGCATGTAATATGTACTCCTTTTCATTCTTTTATTGTGGTAAAATACATATTAATATAAAATTACTATTTTAACCACTTTTAAGTGTACAGTTCACTAGCATTAAATGCATTCACAGTGTCATATAACCATCACCACCATCTGCCTCCATAATTCTTTCCACCTTGTATAATCACAGCTCCATATCTGTTAAACTATAACTCCCCATTCCCTCCCTCCCCATCTTTGGCAAATTGAACTTGTTTACTCTGTGACTACTTCTCTGTTGCTTTCTCATTGTTGGGACAAAATACTCACCACCCACAAGTTAAAGGAGGAAAGGTGTATTTCAACTCACAGTTTGTAGAGGTTTCAATCCATAGTTGGCTGGCTCCAAGGCAGGCATGGCAGGGGGGCATTACCGAGCAGAAATGGTTCATGGCAAAGCAGGAAGGAGCCAGTGAAGCAGCGAGCAGGAGCAACAAACCACAACCTGCTTTCCCTCTCTCCTCCATCGGAGTTATAAGCCTATTGATTGGTGCCACCCATACCTGGGGTGGGGGCTTCCATTATCCACACCCAGAACTATGCTAATTCCAATCAGTGGACTAATTTAGTACTGCATTTTTAATCCCAGTATTACACACCCTGGATCCAGCCAGATCTGATAAGTCCCACCTATGAGTGCATGAAGCTTTGGGGGGATATCTAGATACAAGCCATGATACTACTCTCTCTCATATAAGTGGAATCATATGGTATTTGTCTTTTTGTGATTAACTCACAATCAATCAGCATTTCTTCAGTGTTTCATTCAGATATAGTATGTGTCAAAATTTCCTTCCTTTTCAAGGTTGAATACTTTTCCATTGTATGTATATACCACCTACTGTATTGCTTAACCACTCACCTGTCAAGGGGTATTTAGGTTGCTTCCACATTTCAGCAATTGTGAGTAGAAGCATGTACTTTTAAATATTTACCTAATCCGTCTTCTGAAGAAAAATAAGTTTATTGCTTCAGTGGATAGTTAGTTGTAAATAGAAATTTAGAAGTTACTTTCTATGCAAAGTTTTTGAACTATCATGGATAAATGCTGAGCTAGAAAGTCAGTATAAAAACTTGGGCTGGCTCAGAATTCTTCACTAAGGAAGGAGCCTGTGGGTCTGTTGGTGGTTTATATTTAATATAAACGATATACTAAGATTCTGGCTTTCTATGATTCTGGGGATCTGGGTCCAGGAGAGAGAAACAGATACACTTCTGAGTAGAGGAGCCATGCTGGCAAAATGCAAGACCTGAATCATGATGAAAGGCAGAGCTCTATCATAAGCATAATGTAAGCAACATAGGTAGATCTTAGGTCTTGGCACAGTATCTCAACACTTGGAATGGTGGGCCACCAGTTTTCAAAGGACCCAACAAAGGAGTAAGCGCTGCTTCCTTTCTTTCCCAGCTTGCAACAGTCTTAATGGCAGAGGCTCAGACAGGCTGCTCAGTTCTAGTGTGGACTTGTTTTCCCAAGTGTGGCAAAAGTAGGTATTGGTGATTTAAGAAAATAGATTATCTAGAATTAATTAGAATATAACAACATTACCACAAGACATAATTATTTGATTATGTTTTATTTCTGGTATTGAAGGTCAAACTCAGGATCTTGTGTTTGCCAGGCAGGCACAGTGCCACTGAGCTATATCCCCGCCTCTACAACATAATTTTTTGAAGAATGATTCAGCGTGTACACCTTTAGAATTTAAAAAACTTTTATTATTCCCTAATTTGGCGGCAGTGTGTAAAAAAATTGTACATTACCAACAGTGAGTTAATAAAAATAAAAATAAAGTTAGCTTAAACATGCTAGAGAAAAGAGAATTATTTTTCTACTTGTCCTATAGGAAATTATAAATTTTTGTTATATGAAGAAGCAATCAAAGATAATGTAGCCACAAATGTAAAGGGAAAGTATTAAAAGGGAATGTCAACAACTAACTAAATTATTGCTATTTTTCTGTACAGTATTTTCTGGGCATTGATGGCATTTTTCAGTTTTTTAAACTTTGTAAATGTGATTTCTTTTTTCATTCTGAATATTCACTTTCAGATCTAAAAAAATAAAAGATAGATATGTTTACTACTTCAGAGAGAAAAGGTAAATAAATACAGAGGTAGTATATGTAAACAAATTAAATCAAAGACAGTATAAATATATAATAAAGCATATACTCAAGTGCTCACTTTGGCAGCACATATACTAAAATTGGAACCATACAGAGAAGATTAGAATGGTCTCTGCACAAGGATGACACACAAATTCGTGAAGCATTTCATATTTTTAAATGAGAACCAAAATGTATAATAGATATTGTGAAATAGGAAGAAAATGTTTAAAGGGGAAGGGAAACTAGGGAGCGGGAGGGGGAAAGGAAAGAATGGCAACAAAGCTTATGTATATGGAGAGGTGGAAGGGTTGAAGGGAGAGCAGGGGAATGGGAAAAATAAGAATCAAGATAGAGCATGTACAGGTACAAATTCTCAATGATGACTGTGATCCTAATGTATACCTAAATGTACCAATAAATTCAATAAAAATTAAATCTAAAAAATATTTATACTCAGATGGAGATTGGAAGTTCTGTCTTAAGTAAATTTTAGGCAGTTTAGTGTTTCAAATAAAACCAAGCAAATTTGGAGTTACTTAATTTTAAAATTTTGTATTGAATTCAAAATACATATAACTTACATGGATTTGAAACAAGCGTTTTTTTGTTTTTTTTTTTAACCTAGTTTTTTAATTGAGTTTATTGGTACATTTTAGGTATACAGTACAGTTACATTCATCATTGGGATCTTGTACCTTTACATGATAATTTTGGTTCTTATTTTTCCCCACACCCAGCCCTCCCTTCACCCCCTCCACCCTTCCTTATCTACAAAGACATTGTTTTCATTTTTTCCTTTTCTCATATTTTTTCTTTTCCCTTCCTTCCTTTTTCCTACCTTTCTCCCTTCCCTGACTCCTTTAGCCCCTTTCTTCCTATTTCACATTATCAATTATACAATTTGAACCTTATATATACTTTTAGTTTTTCACACCAGAGAAACTATTCACTCTTTACACGTGTCCTATTTATTTCCCTTAAGAGTATAGCTCCAATATGCATCCATTTAGCTATAAATGTCTTTAATTTCTCATTCTTTATGGCTGAGTAGTACTCCGTATTATAGAAAAAACACATCTTTATCCAGGCTCCAGTTGATGGGCAATTGGCCTGTTTCTAAGTTTTAGCTATTACAAACTATGCTGCTGTAAACACGAGTGCACATATATCACTGTGGTATCATTCTTTTAATTCTTTTAGAAAGATCCCCAGCAGAGGGATGGCTGGGTCAAACAGGACCTCTAATCCTAGTTGTCTGAGGTATCTCCATATTGATTTCCACAGTGGTTGTACCAGTTTGCCCTCCCACCAACAATGAAGAAACGTTATTTTCTAAACTGTTTGGTTTTGTTGTTGGTTGTTTGCTTATATTGACATTATTTTACTTTAGAACTACTTTATTTTAAGAGCTGAATCAAATTTTCATACTTGAGTTGCCTGGTCTTGGAGGTATCACATAGCTTCTTCTTTTAGGGCATCTTGATTCTAATTTATGAAGAGAAAGGCTTTATGTAGAGTAATGTGTTGATTCCTTGGCCTTTTCATTGTTCATTTCTGCCAGCAATGACACAAGAAGTAGTAAGACCTGCAACCCATAGCAGTTGATTTTGTTTTTTGTTAATAGCTTTGTTGAAAGGTCAATCGGAAGTACGATAAGTATCTAGGAGATTTCTTTTTCTCTAGTGTTATGGATAATTTAATTGATTCAGTATGGGAGTAGCATTTTAAGTCATGTTCAAACTATGTTAACTGCTCTCTAAAGATGCACAGTTTGTAATACAAAGATTTCTATTATTTGGACTTAAAAGTAAGTGAAGTAAAAATGCAAATTTTTTCACTGTCCATGATTCAGAGTAGCATTGAAATTTATATATTTTAATAATGCCACTTTTTGAGTAATTATTTGAGAGCAATTATATTGCAGTGTGTTTCTTTAATTTGAATAAATCCCTTAAGATAATTCAACTTTTGAAAAATTTATACATTATTTAATGCCATGGAAAGGATAATGTACTAAAGCCCTTAATACATGGCTGCATTCAGTATAGGTATTTAGAAATGACCTATTGACAGCAAGAAATAATAGTTGGGGAATAAATTTTAAGATTTACTTTTTCAGACAAATTTAATATTTACTATTTAACATATATACAATTAAATTATTATATTGGGAGTCTTCTAAAAAGCCTGCAGCATGTTGTTCAGTAACTGTGTGCTAATTAGTGTATGTTTATTTTCTCAGCAAGGTGTGTGGGAAACTCTGCTAGCGGCTCTGGAAGTCCTCATTCGAGTGGAGCACCACCAGCAGTGGTTTAATATTAGGCAGTTACTGAATGCTCAAGCAGTTCATCACTTCCTATTGACTTGTCAGGTTTTACAGGTACTTTTGCAGTTTTTTCTCTTCTCAATAACTTGGTACTACAAAAATCAAATTTTTATGGGACATTTAGTAGGATTTTCCCTCTTTTCCGTCTTATCTCCTCTCCAGGTTTTTTTTTGTTTTGTTTTTTTTTTCAAATTTTGCCTCTTGATCTTTACATTTGCTATGTTTCCCAAGTCATATTACAAAAAGAAAAAAAAAACCATAAACACAATTATCAAATTTTTTATGTGTCGAGATATAATAATTTTGTAGTCCTTTTGTAGTTGATGAATTTTAACTTGTACTATTTTCCTTAAATAACTTATGACTGTTGTTTCAGTAGGCATAATTTGCTGAAGATTTATGTTATATACTACAATTAGCATCTTGAAAATATATCCAAAATATTATGTTAAAAGGTGGCATTGACTTCACCAGTTATGTAGGAATGTCTATGCCTTGGGGCTTCTAATTAAGTCTTTTCTCTTTTTAAATTTCTTTTTATCTGATTGGCTGATATATTGGACTATTTTCCAACTTTTAAAATTTCTGAGGCATCTGTTAAAATTTTGTCAAGCTAGATAAGTACAAGATATTTATGGGATATATAACATTTTTTTTTTAGTCCTTTGCTTTAATGGCACTAGGGGCTTCTGCCTGTGAAGAATCGAAACTTTGAAACAGTATCCTTAAAACAGATTGTATGATCTTGTTTTAATTACTCTTCTAGTTGCTGAGACAAAATATCTGATACCCAAAGTTAAGAGGAAAGGTTTATTTAGCTCACAGTTTGTAGAGGTTTCATTTTATAGTTGTGCACCACCATGCCTAGCTTTAACAGCTATTCATAGCTTTATGATAGGTATTGTGAGAAATATATAAAGAAATGAATTCAGTGTTACCTTTAAGGAAGTTCAGAGTCTTAATGATATTTTGGGAAGATTAACGAGTTAACTGTATATCGGCTATAAAGCAGTTTCACTAGCTTCTGAGTATAGTATAATAAGCCTCAACTAAGAAGTACGAAGCAAATATGTTAGGGGTTATAAGGACAAAATAATAGGACTTGATTCTATTTAAATTAGAGATTTGGGAGTCACATATAATATAAAATTTCAAGATAGAAGACTAGAAAAAAGATAACATCAATAAAGTAAGCATGTAAGTTTTGTGGTTTGTGCATTCTGTGTTTACAGCATTACACTCAGTGACAGCAACTAAAACTTCAGGGATGGAAAAGCACTAGATAAAAAGTATAGTGAGAAACTCATAGAGGGCTGAAGTTTGCACCTTTGGGATATCCATTGTCAGGATGTGAAATAGGAAAAATTAGCTATAGAACGAGGTGTACAAAGAGTAATTAAAGAGGTAGAAGAATCATAAAAATCAGAAAAGTGAAAGGCAGAGCAGAGAGGGGAAGAACACACACAAGATGATAGACCTCAGCTAAATAATGTAGAAAGTTCAGAGAAATGTGACCAATAAAGGGCTGTGGACATGGAAACTCTTGATAAGCTTGAGAGATTCCAATAGTGTGAAAAAGACAAAGGACTTTAGGTAGTGTATGTGGTATAACGTAACAAGCAATAAGAAAAACCAGTGATTTAAAAGTCTAGCAGCAAAAGTATAGAGTGTTAACAAAAGGTCAAGAAATTTTTAAAAATGAAATAGGAGACCAGAGACTATTTCCTAGGAGTCAGTGGAGGGGGCAGGATTGGACAAACTTGGGCTGGGTTGGGTCTAGGAATGAAAGCCAGGAGAGTTGGGAAGGTACAAGAGATATGATTCAGAAGAAAGGCAGCTGGTGTAGCAGAAGTAGCTCCAAATTGGAAGTTATGAGGCATATGTTCTTGTCTTGGCCTGGCCACTAAGCATTAGGGAAATGTTGGCAAAGGGATTTTGTTCTTTCTTTTGTAAATTCAGTATTCTCTTAATTGTGAAGTAGTAAGGCTAAATTGTCTCAAAATTAACACATACCTCTAAGTATTCTGATTCCACAGTGCATAAGAATGAATGAAGAGGAGCAGATGGAAACCTGTGTATTTGTGCATAGGAAGAGGAAAGATGAGGAAGTTTACTTCTGATTCCCTTAATCTGGGAGCTAGCTGTCATCCACTAGGGAGATAGAATTGGAGGATATAGGCAATTCACAATCAGACTTTATTTTTAACAATTACTTGTCAAGAAGCACTATTCCAAGCAGATGATGTAAAACAGTAGAAACAGGTCAGAGACTTGAGTTTAAGTTATAGCTGCAGTATAACTTAAACATTTAAGTATTTTCTGTGTGGTTTAAACTAATTAAATATTCAATTTGAGCCTCATATTCTAGAAAGAAGAGATAATTACCAAGGCTGGGGATTTAGCTCAGTGGTTCTGCTGCCTGCCTCATAAGCATAAGGTCCCTGGTTCAATCCCTGGTACCAAAAAAAGAGAGAGAGGTAATTACCATTGTAGAACCACTGTGAGAAGCTTTGTAAACTGGAGCACATTACATTAATGTAACTAGGATTGTCCATCAGAAATTCCTCCAGATCCTGTAGTAGTAGAAGCCAAAGTAATAGTTATTGTAATAGTCGTAGTAGTGACAGTAATATTAATAATAGTTAACATTAACACAGTGTCATATATTCAAAATATTTCAGATTTCAGAGCATTTTGGGTGCTTAACCATAAAGTCTATGCAAATATTTCAAAACCTGGGTGGAAAAAAAAAACCTCTGAAATATGAAACACTTCTGATCCAATGCATTTCAGATAAAAGATACTCAAACTGTATGTAGCTTACCATATGTGAGGCACTGTTCTAAGAATTTGTGTCACTTAATCCTTATAACAAACCTATGAAGTAGCATTAGTATTATTTCTACATTATAGACAAATTGAACCATAGAGTATTAAGTAACATACCTAAGATCACACTAATGAGTGAAGGAGCTTGAATACAGACCTATGCAGTTTGACTTCTGAGTCCATGCTCAAGAGTGTGCTCAGTTTAATAAGATAAGTGGGCCAGGGTTAAATTGCTCTTTTTAAATGAATTTTTAATAGGAAGATAACTTCACCTGAGAAATAGCAACTCAATTGAATGGTAAATATGGTCAGACTAGTGTAGTAAACCAAGAATTCTCTTAAAAAGGATGTCTTGCTTAAGTGAAAAATGTTAGTTGACAGTTTTTTTTTAAATCTAAAGACAATTTGATTTTTATTTTTCCAGGAACATAAAGAGGGGCAGCTTACATCCATGCCCCGAGAGGTTTGTAGATCATTTGTGAAAATTATTGCAGAAGTCCTTGGATCTCCTCCAGATTTGGAATTATTGACAGTTATCTTCAGTTTCCTTTTAGCAGTTCACCCTCCTACTAATACTTACGTTTGTCACAACCCCACAAACTTCTACTTTTCTTTGCACATAGGTAGGTATAATCATTTTTGTTAGAGTTTGGGTATCTCCACTTTTGTCTTATTTTTTCTGCCTTATCCATATTTGTTTGATATTCTTTCAATGCACTTTCTGTGCTAGAAAATACCCTAATAACACAGTAGGTAGGGGACAAGGCAGAGGGTTATAGAATGAACATGGTCTCTACCTCTAGGGAGCTTAAATACCAAGAGAGAGGAGACACACTCAAATAGCTAATAAAAAATAATATTTAGGTCGGGAATTTAGCTCAGTGGCACTGTGCATTGCCTGACAAGCTCAAAGTCCTGAGTTCAATCCCTGGTACCAAAAGAAATGTACACATATGGCGAACCAAAAAGATTTCAGAGCAGACCATTATGGGGAGAGAATATTTAATAGATTACGTGATATCTGTAGTGGGCATTGACGAATTTAGGTAGGATTTGATAGGTAGATTCGACAATTAGTATTGCATGCAAAGAGAATTGACTTGAAGAGAGGGAAAAATGGAAGAAGAAAACGAAGAGTACCCAATTTTTCCTAAGTACATATGCAAAATCTGTAAAAGAGAAGTGAAAAATAATGCTATGAACATAGTTTAAGACCCCTATTTATTTACCATGAGGCAAATGAATCATTGAATGTACTACCAGAGAATTTGAACTCATATTCTACAAGGGCTGTCAAACTATGCAACATGTACAGGCTGCAGATTTAACTCAGTGGTGCATGCCTGCCTTGAAAGTGCAAGGTCCTCCTCTCCATCCCCGGTACCAAAAAAACAAAAGCAAACAAAACCAGCATGTATTTAAATTAAAACTTTGTAATTACAGTAAAAGGCACATTGCCATTCCCTGGTCCTCACTTTTAACACTCATCGCATCATTCTCACCATTTTCTAAAGCAGTTCTGGAGGTCCTGTTTTATGAGTGGCTTTATGATATGTGATAAATATAGTAAATGCTATTGTTGCCAAATGCCATCCAATGGAAAGAGAAGCTCGTGAAAACATTATGGTGTGTCCTCATCTACCTTATTGGCTGCAGCTGGCACCATGCAACTTCTGATTCTTCCCCAAAGTCAAAATGACCATGAAAGGTAAACATTTTGAATTGATTCAAGACAGCAACGCAGCCCCAACAGCACACCTAAAAATACAAAAGAAGACCGCTAGAAGTTCTTCAGAAAGTGGCAAAAATGATGGGATAAATGTGTTTGAAGTGAGGGAAAACATCTTAGAGAAGGATTAATGGCAATAAGTGAGGGGGAGAATCTTGGAATAATTATAATGTATCTTTTACTGTAATAAAACTTTAAAAAAATACATTTATACATTCACTGTCTTTTTTGATCAAATCTTGTAGAAATCATTGAAAGATTTTGTTTTGTTTTACTTGTTGGCTTATTTGTTTTTGAGTAAGGGGATGTAAGTAAATTATTGCAGTAGAATTGAGAAATAAATGAGGCATTCAGAGCAATTGTAATAGTCTATAGGAAACATAAAATGATAAAATCTGGGCATAGTAGAAGTGGAATTGGAAAGGAGGCGTTAAAGAGAGAACTGAAAAGGTTGGAATGGGTGACTGTGGGGATGTTAGGACCGACGATAGTGACTTTAGCTTTATAACACATGTTGCATTTGAGATGCCCTGTGAAAATTGTCTATGGGGCAGTTGAAAGGGTGGTAACACAAGGAGCTACCTACATAGGCATGAGTAGAAGCTCTGAGATTAGATGAGACCACTAAGAGTAGTGTAGTGAGGGAATGAAAGAGGAAGCTAAGGATACAACTCCTGGTAATGGTACTACTCAAGAGGATGCAATAAGAAAGAGGAATCAGTATAAGAAGGATAGAATAATCAGAGTTTTTAATGAACTGGGAAAAAGTAATGTGGTAAAAAAGAAAGCCAGAATGAACCTTTGAGAAAGCTAGGTGGTAACTTTAGAATGGAAAGCCAATTGCACAACAACATTTTAAAGAAATTTAATAAATGAATAAAATGCTTTAGCAGGAGTGAAAGTCCAAATATAAATTGCATGGCTTTGTGTTAAATTCAGCACATTTAGTGAATGAAATATTATGGAAGATTTGGAAAGCAGGATAGTTACAAAGATGAGTAAAATATGATTCCCCCCATAAGAGGCTCATGGCTTAGTACAGGAAAGAGAAATATAAACAGACGGTTACACCTTGATGAGTAGATGCCACAGTGATGGACATAAGCATTTCATTTTCTGGTAGCATACAGTATGGTGAGAGCTGAGGGCGTGTTTCCTGGAGAAGGCTGTGCCTACTCCCAGTCTTAAAGGGTAAATAGCAATCAAAGAGAAAGGCCTTCTAGGCAAAGGAAATGTCTTGACTGGCAGCTCTGAGAAGTGGGTGTTGCTGAAATGTAATATAAGAAACAAGGCTGGACAGAGACCTGGAAACAGATCGTGAAGATTCTTGTAGACAAGAAGCTTGGACTTTATCCAAGATGGTAAGGAGGATTTTAAGTAGGAATTGACATTTGAGAGAGAATTTTAGAGACTGTGAAGCTTTGAAGGTGACAAGTTGTCCATCAGGATACCATTTAGACATCTGTGACAGGGATACAGGTGAAAGATGACAAAACCTGTATCATAGCACTATGGTAGGGAAGAGAAGAGTTTAAGAAACTGAAAACAAAGTCAGTAGGACCTGGTGACTGACTAACATGGATAAAGGAAAACTGGTGGTTGAGTTAGCTTTAGTTCTCTCTCCATGGGGAGTGAACAAGTCCCTGTACCAAACTAACTAGGACAGGGCCTGGGATTTAGCTTAGTGGTTCGGTGGCCTGCCCTGCAAGCACAAGGACCCGAGTTCAATCCCCTGTACCAAAAACAAAACAAAACAAAACAAACTAACTAGGACAGAACAGGCGGAATAAATTGAGCACAGGAAGATGATTAAGATTTAAAGTTGTATTTGCAGAGCATTTACAAAATCAAGCACTTAGATTTACAAGTATGAAGCACAGAAGGATGATGAAGCTGAAAGTATTAGTTTTGGAATAAGGTTAGACATTGAAAGAGATGTATAAAAGCATAAAACATGGTCCTTTTCTCAAGGAATAAACAGTTGAGCAATCTCTTCTGAGAGATCATAAGGACATGTAAAAAGCTAAACAGGTTTACCTCAGTGGTTCTGCCACCTGTCTCACAAGCACAAGGTCCTGAGTTCGATCTCCAATACAAAAAAAAAAAAAAGGCAGTTAAATGTTAAATTATAGAAACAGTTCCAAGAACAATTGGAATTCAAAGTAAATAGAAGCTAGGGCTGGGGGTTTGGCTCAGTGCCTGCCTCACAAGCGCAAGGACCTGAGTTTGATCCCTGGTACCAAAAAGAAAGAAAGAAAGTAGAAGCTAATGTGGCCAGTAATAGTCAACAGCAAAGAAATCTGTAATAAGAAATTAAAGTAAATATTTATGTCAAGTGTAACTAGTATAAATAAGCCATATCTTTTCCCTTTGAGTATTTTTTTTTTTTTTTGGTCAAAATTTGTACTTGATGATTTGCTTTTAAAGTTATATTTTTGGCTGCATGTGGTGGCACACGCCTGTACTCCCAGCACTTGGGAGGCTGAGGCAGGAGGACTGCCATGAGTTCAAGGCCAGGTTGGGTTACATAGTGGGGTTCAGGGCCAGCCTCAGCTATATGGTGAGGCCTTGTCTTTAAAAAAAAATGTTGTATCTTTGTTTTACTGTTTTTAAAAATTTTTGCTGTCTCAAAAATATTTTGTTTATCTAGATGGTAAGATCTTTCAGGAGAAGGTGCAATCAATCATGTACCTGCGGCATTCCAGCAGTGGAGGACGATCCCTCACCAGTCCCGGTTTCATGGTCATAAGCCCATCTTGTTTTACTGCTTCACCTCCTGAAGGTAAAAATAACAATAATGAAATTATAACTTTTCATTTTAGTCTTGAATATTCATAGATTGAACTGTACATGTTTTTAGCAGTATAGTACAACCTGATATTTAGACTAAATAAATGGACAATTAAGTTAAATTTCAGACTCATAGAGTATGTTTAAAGAACCCTTTTGTTTTTTGTTACTCGGGATTGAATTCAGGACCTTGTGCTTGCAATACAGGTAGCAGCTAAATCCCTAGCCCTAAAGAACTCATTTTTAGTACTTTGTGATATCAATAACTCAATGTAACATTCATCCCTGGTTCTTAGAAGAGCTCAGAAAGTGGATGATGCTCATGCTTTTAGCCCTCCTGCCAACCAGAGAAACAGAATCCTCTGGGGATTTCTGATATACTGAAAAAGACAAAGAGGATTTATTCTTCCTTTCTAATTCACTCTTGGAGAAAAATCTATCTCTCTGGCCTTTTTTTTTTTTTTTTTTAAGTTCAATTAATTTAAAAAAGTTTTTTGAGACAGGGACCTATGCCCAGTCTAACCTCAGACTCACCATTCTTCCTCCTCAGGCTCCCAAGTGCATGCCACTGTACCTCACTTTTTTGGGTTTTTTGTCATGATCCCAAGTTCCTTTTGCCTCTGCAAAGATCCCATTTGCCTATTTTCTTGACACCATGTTCAGTTTCCTTGTTCCCTGTGCCTGTTGATATTCTTGACATGAAAACCCCTAACCCAAACTCAATCTGACCATCCTCACACTGCTGAAGACTGTCACAAAGCTTTCAGTGCTGCCCTGCCATTTTTTGGCGGCGGTGCGTACCAGGGATCTAATTCGGGACCCTGAGCTTGCAAGGCATGCGATAGAACCACTGAGCTAAATCCCCGGCCCTGCCCTATCATTTTTTCTGCGTTTATACTCAATTCCATTTCTGTTTATATAGTAAGTATATTCAAGTCTTTATACTGGTAGTATTTTCCTATCCTCCTAGTTACTCTTAACAAACTACCATATCTCTGTTTTCCTAGAAAGGAAAAAAAAAAACCAAACTGGTGCAAGTTTCCTAGTTTGAGTTCTCTTCCATGCTAGGACATTCCTTTTGTTGTCAGTCCAACTTAATCTTTTTCTCTAGCTGCAGTATAATTAATAAGTAGTGAAGGCAAGATACAGATATAGGAAGATAGAAATGGTTGCTTGAGAATTAATCTCCAATTTTGTTTACCCTCCAAAGTATTTGAGTTTTCTTTATCACATTTTATGGTCTTTTAGTATAATATCTAGTTTAATTAGGAAATGTTTATTTTTAAATCACATGCATTACTCTGAAACATTTTCTTTTTCTGAAACATTTCAAATACAATCATACTGCCATTTTTTCCAAGATTTTAAAAACAGAAATCTTTTGGCTGCTTTAGCCCTCCAGCCAAATCCAGAATAACTAGAAAAAACATCTGGGCTTTGGGGCTGTTTTATTGCCTCAAAGCCTATATACTGCATTTATTCTGTATCCCTGCATCTCAAGCCTCAGTGTACACAAATTGGCACCTGGAGAGCGTGTTAAAACGCGGGTTCCCGCCCCTGCTAACATTCTGATTCAGTAGATGTATGTAAGAGCTTGGGAATGTAAGACCCTAATCATCGTGTAGGTGCTGGTGCCCATGCTGCTCCTCCACAGACCATACCTTAAGTAGTGTGCACCTAAAGCCTGTACTCTTGTAATAAGAAGGATTTTTTTTCTGGTCTCCTCCTGCATAGAATATTAGAAGTAGTAAATTGGAGATCTGTAGCATGAAGAGAGAAGGCTAATGTTTCTCTCCCAGAACAGTAAGAAGACACTACAGATGGGGCAGAGGGAGAATAATCCAGAGCCATTATTAGTAATATCAAGTACTACTATATATGAGCACCTGTTATATGACAGATGCTATGATAGATGCATCACGAGTATAATCTCTCTTAATCCTTGAAGCAGCCCTGCACAGTACATATTCTCAACACTCATTTTACATTGGCAGAAACTAACATTTCTGTAATACAATTGAGTAATTTACCTGTGACCACTGAACTAGAAGAACTGTCACTTGAATCCAGTCATGTCTAGGTACAAAGCCAAGACCCTTTCTACTGTTCCACTCTGCATTCTGGTGACTACGGGCCTGAGTAAGTTCAGCTCCACTTCATTCACTTAACTTCACTGTCACAGATCCATTAATCCTAATGATCAAATCATGCTGTGTCAGTATTTATTACGGGGATAGAAAAACACAAATTTTTGGAATATTTTAATAAAAATTGTTAAAAGAAGAAATAGTGTTGGCATTTAAGAAAGTTAAATGTTAATTGCTAGAAAAATAGCTTAGATGAATTCATGAACAGTGCTAGATAGGTAGACTGTTACCAAGGTTGTGACTTGTACAGAAGAATGGCGGCCCCATTTAACAGATTTTTAAGTACTATATTTCTCTCTACTCTTACTAGGAAGCAGTTTCTCCAGTGTTATTCCACCAGGAATGGCTGCCCACATGCTACGTTCTAGAAGCCTACCAGCATTTCCTACTTCACCACTAATACAGCCACGAAAACTGACTGGAAGTTTGGGTTGTAATATTAACAAGTTACAAAACATTGTAGATACCTATGTAGCTACCCAAGCAGAGAAACAGAATCGTTTGGGGAATTCTGACATGCTGCAAGCAAGCAAAGAGGATGCATTCATCAGTAGCTGTGAGTCTGCAAAAGCTATTTGTGAAGCAGAAGCTGTTCCTACAGCCCAAATCTCTGCCGGTGGTGTCCCAAAAGGAACATTGGGATTTCCCACGGGGAGAGTAGATCATAAAGACTTGGAAGTAGAACCCAGATCAGAAGATGACAGTCCCGGGGATGAATCCTGCCTGCGCCGACCTGATAACCTGAAGGGACTGGCCTCGTTCCAGCAAAGCCACAGCACGATTGCAAGTCTGGGGCTAGCTTTCCCTTCACAGAATGGAACTGCAGCCTTGGGCCACTGGCCCAGTCTTGTTGATAGGAACACTGATGATTGGGAAAACTTGGCCTTTCCTCTTGGTTACAAGCCCAACTATAACAGAGCTACAAGTGCTCACAGGTACTCATGCATTTTGTGTGCTCTCTCCATATTTAAATGTTCTTTGAAGACGCTCTACTTAGAAATGTCTGCATTATGCCACTTCTTAAAATACAACATTGTGTTAATACCAAACAAGCGTGCCTTTTTCCTCATTGCATTTCCCCCTCGTTTTAATATTAGTATCAGTTCCATGTTCAACCAAAAGCTAAATGGCTCTCAAAGAAAAATTTCTCTTATGGCTTAATTCTTTGTCATTATTAGAGAAAAATTCTTATCTCAGGGAAATGATCAGATCAATTCTTGTTCCTAGTGGCATCTCAAGTAGCAGCACTGTGCCGAAAAACTTTCTGGAGTGATTGAAATGTCTTCTCTGTGCTGTCCACTACCATGGACACCAGCCATATGCCTGCTGAGCTCTTGAAATGTGACCAGTGCAGCTGAGGAACTTAACTTTTAATTTAATTTTAAATTGTTGAAGTAGCATAAGTTGCAATGACTACTATATTAGATATAGATTCAGACTACTATATTACACATAGTGTTTAGTATACTATATGCCTAAAAATATCAGTAATAAAAAGTGAGGGTCATTTTGTTAATCACAATTAAATTAGGAAATATTTCTTAAACCCTATGAAAATTTGTTTCACAAAAAATTACAATTCATTATAAATCCTGAGGTATAATCATCATGTAGTTTTCTCCCAGCACTGTTAGTGAGACTCTTTTGGTCTCTGTCTTAGTGTCACTGAAGACTGCTTGGTACCTATATGCTGTGGATTGTATGAACTCTTAAGTGGCATTCTCCTCATCCTGCCTGATGTTATGCTGGAAGATGTAATGGAGAAGCTCATTCAAGCAGATACACTCTTAGTCCTCGTTAATCATCCATCACCAGTCATACAACAAGAAGTTATTAAAGTAAGGGCAAATCCTACAAAAGTGTTGTTTTAATTCAGGAAACAAACATATATGTATTTTAAATTTTTGAATGTACTTAAGTATGTTAAAGTAGACATATATTAACTTAAAATTTTATTTTATATTTAGAAATAATGAAGTAATATATATATAGTCTGTCATTTCCTACTTGAATTTTGTATTACCAGTTGTAAGTCCTCCATGTATTGATTCATATTTTTTAAAATCTACCAATAAATTCACATATCTGAACATTCGGTAACTCACAAAAATTTACAAGGAACACGTGGTTCACAGGAAATCTCTCCTGAAGCCCAGTATCAAGTTTTGGACATTTACTTCAAGTTTCAGCTCAGATGTCACCTTATCAAAAATTGCTTCCTTCTTCTGGCCCTACCTCTTATTTATTCTATTAAGGCATCCTAAGTACCTCTTAAAATTATCTTTTTTATTTATTTGTGTACTTAGGTTTTTAAAGTCTTCTTTACAGATATAAACTATGAGGGTGGACATCTTGTGTCTAGTGTATGATAGATACTAAGTAAACTGTTGAATGATGAGTATTTGGCCTCAATTAGAAAATCATTCAGAGTTGAAATGGTCTTCAATGACTCTTATTTTCTTTAGTATAGTTTCTCTTATTTTCTGAATGTAGGTATTCTTCAATCTCTTGCAGCTCAACCTAGTATTTATTGAGTCCCCATTCCATGTGCAAGACCCTTGGCTAGTTAATATGTGGGATAAAAGAGGGAATAATATGAGTCCCTACCTTCTGGGAGTTGATATTCCAGCAAGAGAGAGAGGTATACACCCTGTATAAAGAATTCTGACGTGGTAATATTGATAAAGATGAATGAGAGCACAGCAAAAGCAAATAACTCTGATGGGGGAAGCAGGAAAGGATGTATGCATGCAAAAAAGAAAGTTTTTTGGTAATATTGCTGTAAACGTAGCAAGTTTTTTAAATGGTTAAGTGTTTGGGAAAGTATTAATACCTGTCACTGCTGTGAGGGAATGATTGAAAGAGTGGTAGAAGTATTCTGTTAGCAGGCCAGCTTAGTAACCCAGGGGAGAAATGACTATGACTATTAGTAGACTAGGCTAGTATCCAGAGGGAAAAACAAAGGTGGTTCCCAAGTTGGATTAATGAAAGTAAAAGGCTACACAGATTTGAGAGACTTTCGTTGGAGTGGCAAAGAGGTACTTTCATAACTGCACGTGGCAACTAGAAATAGAAAAGCCAAGAGTAATTTTACCTTGAAGTTAAGAGGAATGGTTCTAAGATCCATTTAAGTGTGGAATCAGGGAAGAAGTGGGTTTGTAAGGAAAGAAATTAGCTGAGTCTTACATACATTTTATTTAAGAAACTAAACAAGGGTGAAAATTCCAGCCTGTGCTCAGGATAAATACTCTGTTAGGAAGTCTATAAATAGGGCCGAGTGTGGCTCAGGGGTAAAAGCCCTGCCTAGCATGCATGGAGCTCTTGATTTAACCCCCAGTACCGTACACACAAAAATGTCTAGAAATAGAGGTTTAAGATAGATTTGCAGGGAAAACATAGTGCACTGAAATTTTTCTTCACAATCAGGCACAGATATTTCACTTACACTCAGCTAAAGTTGCCAGACTACTAGGTGTCCATGTTCAGCTGGGAATGCCAGCTTCCTCACCACAGAAGAAAAACTCCAGAACAGAGTCACCAATAGCATTACACCAGTGTTAGAATTAATTCTCCTATAAAGGTGGCATCTCTTTGTGCTAGTCTTCTGTGTTTATTAATTACTTACAAATATAAGTATACTTCATTGTCTGACTCACATGTATTAAATTTTAACACAGGATTAAATTGTCTTAAATTTTATCTTTAGCTACTACATGCATATTTTAATAGAGCATCTAAGGAGCAGAAAGATAAATTTCTGAAGAATCGTGGCTTTTCCTTACTAGCAAACCAGTTGTATCTTCATCGGGGGACTCAGGAATTGTTAGAATGCTTCATTGAAATGTTCTTTGGTCGACGTATTGGCCTTGATGATGAGTAAGTGGGTTCTTCCTTCCACCATAATTGGAGATTCTTTGTTTTAGATGTAAAATTCAGTGAACTCACTCTTTTTTGTGTGTGAACCCACTCCTAACACAGTTATTTTGTCACTTTTTTCCCCAAGGTGAATCAACTTATTGTTTTCTGTATGTTAGTGTTTCTACTGTATGTCTTCCTTTGTATCAAATGAAAGAAATTGATAACAATTTGGCATCTAGTATTAACATGAGAAAGTAGCCTGAAAAGAAAGATGGCCCATGTGTTCTCAATGACAGATTACACAGGTGATCTGTTCAGTCCTCTCAGAGCCCTCATCTCATCTGGGAAAAGAATGGGCTCCTCCTGGAAGGCCTGGACCTCCTGATGGCTGAGATTTAACCCCAGTGTGGTGTTGAGAGATTAGCAAATAAGTACAAAAATAAAAGGGTATTTTTTACCCAGTCCACAAGTTTGCAGAAAAGTTATCTCTTTTTATGATATAATAGAGAAATATATGCATTCTGACTGTAATATAGAGTCAGATTTTGAGGTATTAATTCATTGACTGTGGTAATTTCAATGTACTATATACACAGTTGCATACAGCTTTTGACTTCTCCAAAGGAACTCCGTATTATCTCATTTGAGTCTCATAGCAGTCTCGAGTAGAAAGAAGTGCAGATATCCTCACATATATTTGACACCTGAGGAAAATGAGGCTTAACAGGCTTAAATAATTTTCCTGAATCACAGAGGCAAATAGTTTGGAGATAACTCAAGGTTGATTTCTTTATGCTTACCCTCTTCTATCTCACTATCTTTCAAATAAATAAAATACTGGTACTTTTCCTGTATACCTCTTATAAACCCTTAAAGTAGAGGTTCTTTGGATATAAGAGCCCCTATGAAATGAGTTAATCAGTTAAAACTCTGAAATTGTATGTATCATTCTTCTGAACATTTGTATATCTTGAGATGAACCTCTGGCAACAGCCTTTATCTTATTTTTGGAGAGGATCTATAATTTTTTTTAAAAGGCTAAGAATCTTTATTCCACAAATTTATTTTTTAGAGCTTTAAATGGTTAATAAAATGGCCTTTAATCTCAGTCATTCATTCTTATTTTGTGACTAATTGCTTTTAATGTGCTCTTAACTATTATTTATTATAGATTTGATCTGGAAGATGTGAAAACCATGGGACTTTTTCAGAAGTGGTCTGCTGTTCCTATCCTGGGACTAATAGAAACCTCCCTGTATGACAACGTACTCTTGCATAATGCTCTTTTACTTCTTATTCAGATTTTAAATTCTTGTTCTAAGGTCGCAGACCTGTTGTTGGATAATGGTCTACTCTATGTGTTATGTAATACAGTAGCAGCACTGAACGGATTAGAAAAGAAGTAAGTTTTGAATTATTAATTAAAATTACATCTGATAAGTCTTTTGAAAGGGAAACTTTAGTAATAGTTCTCTTTAAACCATCTTATTTTTTCATAATACTTTCAAAGAATTTCTCACAACATTTATTACTTTAACTTGTAGATGGCAGGTTGTTTTAATCATTTTCAACAAACGGTTAAGAAAATGTTTGTTTTTAGGTACTTAGAACATGAAAACAAATAGAATAAGTTTAATCGTGCCAAATATATTTACCAAGCTTCCACATTATATTTGTAAAAATTATAAGCCCCATTCACAAATAGAAAACTGAGGATTAGGAGCATACAGCAGCTCACTGAGTATCATAGCTAGTAAACAGCAGAGAACCTGATACTGAATCTGTCTCACTTCACAAGACTATGTTTTAATCTCAATATGCTAATCTGTTCATGAATTCTGTTACTATCTACTGACATAAATTAATTCATAATAGTCATGTTCAATCACTGTTACCATAAATTAATTTCATATAGTCATACATAGGCAAAGGGTTGCCCAGCAAATAACAGTTTTTAAACATACATTAGGAGTTTAAATTTTCATTTAGGATTTGTATCTTTGTGGTCACCATTTATGTTGCATAGAGTACCATTTTTACTAACATAACATTAAATATTTGGTTGCACTATCTTGTTGCATATAAATAGCATTAAAATGTTATCTATATTTTTGCAGAGAGAACAAAGCATATCTTTCGTGGTTCTCTAAGCCAAGGAGAGACTCCTTGTATGCAACTTGGTTCGGCTTTCATTGAGCACCTGTTACATTTAGGGTGTGTATGATAGGCATATGAGAAACAGAAAGAAATATAAAAGTATAATGTTTTCTCAAAACACTTAGTCTGGATTGCAGTACAGTGCATGTAAATTGTAAAACCTAGGAAAGCAGCTGCAGGCTTGTTCTAAAAGTAGATTTTGTTTACTTGGTAAAAAGTAAGTTATGCTTGGGCTGGGGATTTAGCTCAGTGGTTCTGCCACCTGCCTGACAAGCAGAAGGTCCTGAGTTCGATCCCTGGGACCAAAAAAACCCCCCAAAAAACACATTGGTAAGAAAAGTAAGTTATGCTTCCTGATAGCCCCAAATGGTACTCTATTAATCATTACCATGTTTAACCTTTGCTTGGTTTGAAAAAATTTAAATAGAAGTGCTCAGCCTAAGCGCACACTCTGAGGTAGATTATCAAAGTTAAAATTGAGAGGCAGAAGCAACTGATTCAGAGTTATTGTGTATTGAGAGGTGATTAATATATATTCAAACCTATTACAGTATCTTCTAATGTTTAAAATAAGTATAATTTAAAGAAGTGAGATTCAGAGGTTAATTTATTTACATTCACCTTTTCTGGAGAGTCTTCCCAGAATGTTTTTGCTCACACTCTCATACTATTTATTCATCCTTAGTATAGGCTGGGAACCTGCTTATTTGTTCCCCATATCTTGTGTTGTCTCTGTTATTAAATTTAACACCATTTACTATTTATAACGGTCTCTTTACTTTGCTGATCCTCTGCGAGACTATTTTTGACAGGAGTGAAAGTGTGTCTTATTTCTTTTCTTAATATGTGAAGTGTATTACCTGTCATAGAGTAAGCACGAATAAATATTGAATGAATGCATGCTGATAGAATAATAATTTAAATCAGTTCTCTTCTTCTTAAATTATTGGTTCTTGTTCTTATAAATGTCCTTTTTTTTTTTTTTTGGTTTTGCTTTTTGGTTCTTTAGCATTCCTTTGAATGAATACAAATTACTGGCATGTGATATACAGCAACTGTTTGTAGCAGTTACAATTCATGCTTGCAGCTCCTCCGGCTCACAATATTTTAGGGTTATTGAAGATTTAATTGTACTTCTTGGATATCTTCAAAATAGCAAAAACAAGAAGACCCAAAGTAAGATTTAATTTTTATGGATTTGGGGGGAAAGTTGTATACTAACCAGACATTTCACTAGGGCCTAATCTCTTCTTAATAACTCCTTTACTGAAGGTTTAACCTTAACTTTGTGATGATACTGATTGGGTTTTAAAAACAGCCTTTTGGAGTGGCAAGAATAGGAAAAGTGATGCCTTGACATAATTAGAAGCTGCCAACTCATCCTCAGAAGAAGCTGCTGATTTTTCTTATCAAGTAGAATTAAAAGGCTTGTGATGAATAGTAATGCCTCTTTTTTCTTTAATGGCATATATTAAAATGAAACTGGAAAAAATCTGAGGACTTCTGATTAAACTTTTAATTTATATGCACAAATGTTCTTTGAAAAAATTATGTAAAATTAAATTTATGAACTATTACTAGTATTTTTCCTTTATCTTTTTATAGTGACTATTTGGAAATTTGCTTTAAAATTGCTTTTAGAGGCTGGGGATGAAGCTTAGTGGTAGAGTACTTGCTTAGATGTTTAGCCCCTGAGGTCAATTTCTAGGGCTACCAAAAATGATTTGCTTTTAAGCACAGTTTAAAAAAAAAAATTCTGCTGGGGATTTAGCTCAGGGGTTCCGCCACCTGCTTTGCAAGTGCAAGGACCAGAGTTCAATCCCCGGTACCAAAAAAAAATTTTTTTTAATAAATTAAAATAAAATAAATAATAAAATAAAATAAAAGTTTTAAAATTTAAATAATAAAAATTATAAAATCTGACTAGCATTGAAAACCTGTGTTAATCAAAATTTTAAAATTTGTATCTAATAATTAGCAGTTTAGACATTGGATGATGTCAAAAATAAGATCTAGGGCTGGGAATATAGCTCAGTAGCACAGTGCCTCTGGCAAAATAAAAAAAAAAAAAAAAAAAAAAGATCAATCATAAGATTAATAATCTCATAGCTTGGAAACATCCCAGACTCTGCTGTTTGTAGGTATGGCTCTTGCCCTACAGCTTAGAGTTCTGCATGCTGCTCTAGAATTTATAAGAAGCTCAGCAAATCATGACTCTGAAAACCTTGACGATGCAATACTGTCACCTTCTGCTCCCCACCATGCAGTGTTTCAAAAGCGGAAAAGCATTGCTGGTAAGTATTAAAATAAGTTTTAATAATTGTAAATTGACTTTCCTATATTCTGATGCCATTCATATTTTTAAAATGTTTCCTATTTAAGTTAAGCTGTAAAATTTGAGAAAAATTTTCCCCCAGCGAAAAATTACCCTGTTTTCTTTTCAGTGTTGTTCTCATTCATTTATTTCTTCAGCACATACCATGAGCCAAGCCTTGTGCTAAATGTTGGAGACACAGATTCTGCCTTGTAGAAATCATCAAATAGTAGGTAAATGCAGAGGGTAGGCAGAGAGTATACCAGGGCAACCGAATTTAGAGAAGACATGAAGAGACCTCCGTGGAAGTAAAATTAAGTACTGTGTGAAGGTACAGGATGAGAAAGGAATTAGCAAGGTAGAGTCAGGAAGATTGTTGTGGACAAAATGAACAGTTTGTTGTGGATCCAAAGCAGGAAAAGAGCTAAAATTGTTGAAAAAGCTAAGCTTGTTCAGAAAGCTGAAGGTAAGCCATTCAGCTAGAATGTGGCACTTGAGAGTGAAGTAACATGAAGCTTGGTTCAGTGTCCAGCACTACAAAATAATAAGTATTAATATTGTTAGACCTCCTTATGTTTTCAAATGGAATTTTCTGTTCTTTGTATATATACATAATCCAGAAAGATGACATCACATAGGTTCATGTACATACACAATGCACATATACGTGCATATGTATATATGTGTACATAGTGAATATACATAAGTACATGTGTGTGCCTGCACATGCACAAGCATGTATCTCTGAACAGAGTACTTTGGTGTATTTGGTATATTGTTTGAAGTTTAATTGCCCTTGTAGTCTTAATGTCTTTCAAGTCCAAATCTTTCTTCTGCTTGTGCTAAGTTACTTCACTATGTGAAATTTTAAAATCATCAGAAAAACTACCCATAGAGAAGACTTTCTAAAATATGTTTTACAGTAATGTGTTTAAGTTATGCTAAATAAAACATACATAATAAAACTACTAAAATATCTATGTAACTTACTGCCCCATATATCTTTCCTTATTATCTGAACAAAGTGTCTTCTCTTGTGCTTCCTTGTACCTCCTTTCTCCTGAGTAGAATTATGTCTTCCCAAGTGTAGCAGTCATGCTCAGCTTTTTACATGCCAAAAGATGACTTCTGAACACCTTCCTTTGCAGGCCTCCACCCTTAGTGACTGCTCAGATAGAATTGACCCTCTACTGATATCAGACAGTACATGTTCAGAGAAGCTGCTGCTTCCTTCTTTTGCTGCTTCTCTTGCTCCTATGCACTCCTCTGCTGCTTTGCTTGCATCCCCTGTTAGTTAATGATCATCCTGTGGATGGGCTGGCTAGCACAATGACCTTCTTGCTATTGTCTTTTGAATTGTCAGTTCCCCTGATAATTGTCATGTCTCTCTTTAGATCCTAACATCTTTGTCACCCTGAGCCTCAAAGCCCTGCAGAGCTACAAGTTTATTATTGTTTTGTTTTTTGGCCTGAATCAGTTTTAAATGGACAGTGGACTGTTGCTCTTTTTACTACACCACTTTTCTTTTTTTCCTCTTATTTCTCTAGTCTCTTATTATACTTGGGCTTATGTTTCTGTGTTTGTTTGTTTGTTTGTTTGTTTGTTTGTTTTGAGACAGTATGTTGCCTAGGCACGCTGGGCTTAAATGATCCTCTTGCCACAGCCTTCTAAGTAGCTGGGACTACTTGTGAACACAAGACATGATGCCAGCTTTAGTAGGGCTTATGTTTTTCACTTTAAGTAAATACAATTGCTGTCACATATATGAGGCTTATACATAGAATCCCGTAAATTCCTAAGCTTAATAAAAGACCTTATAAGTCCATTTGTCCAGCTTCCTCATTCTTACAGGCTCACTATACCCTAAAATCAGGGGTGGCTGGAACGCACACCCCTACACACTTCTCTTTGTGTCTGACACCATATCTCTTTTCAGGGCTAGCATAGCTTTTAGAATCCATCTCTCTCAAGAGTTCTTCACATTTTTTTTTAATTGAGTTTATTGGTACACTCTAGGTATACAATACAGTTACATTCATCATTGGGATTCTGTACCTTTACATAATAGGTCTTGATTCTCATTTTTCCCCTTGTCCCTGCCCTCCCTTCACCCCCTCCTCCCCTCCCCTCCTTTACAGACACCTTATTTCCATTTTTTCAGTTTCTCATATTTTTTGCCTCTCCCTTATTACCTTTCCCCCACCCTTCCCACTTTCCCTATACCTTTAGCCCTTTGCTTCCTATTTCACATTATTAATTATCTCATTAGTATCCTGTGTACTATTGTAGTTTTTCACACCAAAGAAACTATTCGGTATTTCAGTTAAAGAAATCTCTGTATGAACATTAAAACTAAAAGGAAAGTAAAAGAGTAAAGGCAATGATGTAACATTAAAATAATCCTTAATTCTATGGATGAAAATGGTCCCCAAACATATTTAAATTGCTTCTTGCTCTTATAGTCTTATCTTATTCTTTTTTTCATTATTTAGAGAATACTTTATTAGTTTCTGTAGTCACACCCAGTAGATATGACCTTACATATTCAATACAGTGCATTACCCCTGTACACATGGAAAAAAAATAAAAAATAAAAACAAATTAACATTTCTAGACCAGTATGGCTGTCCATTTCTGTACAATGTCAACTCAACACAGTAAATTGGGATGACTTTTTCCAAAGTTGGCAGCACTGTTAAAGTTTCCCAAAATTCAATTTATATAT